CTACTTTCTTGTCTGCTGGCATTTCGGGTTATAAATGAGAAATGGAGCTAAATTGATGTTTGTTTCTTTGCAGAAAACCTGTTTTTCTTATTTGGATCATAATTGATTTTTATCTTTATCCTAGTTGTTTGTCTTAATCCAAATGTCTAGATGTATGTCTCATTTCTTTGACTATGCATGGATTATGCAGAAAGTGTTCTTTTAGTATAGTTTTGATTATAACAGCCTTTTCTGCTTTTCCCAGGGTTTCCTTTAGAAACAATAAGTGTTTGTAAATTGGTCATTATGTTAGTCCTTTATTGTCTTGTTTCCCCTCATTTTTTTGTTCTTTTTTGCAAATTTTCTCTGCATTCTGAAAAAATATATATATACGATTTTTTTCTTTGTGTCACTGATCAATTTTTTTAATGTATTAGTTCTATTCTCCTCTGATATAAACTGTTATGCTATTATCATCTATTAAGAATCCTTGTCCTGGGGCTGGGGTTGTGGCTCAGCAGAAGAGTGCTCACCTAGCAAGTGTGAGGCCCTGAGTTCGAGCCTCAGCACCACATAAAAATAAATAAAGGTATTGTGACCAATTGTGAAATTAGGAATTATGGCTCTAGAAAGAAAAGAGACCTTGTCCTGTGCTTCCTCAGACCTTTGCACTGTTGCCAGGGTACCTAAACACTTCACCTGCTGAGCATTTATGAAAAAACATTGAAAGAAAACACTACTAAGAGGGCCTGGTAAAAAGGAACAGTGCTTAGCATTACTGTGTTAATGAGTTTCCCAGATTAACATCTACATGCCAGCAGGCCCTCTGCAGAGAGCAGCGGCTAGGAGAATATAGTGGGCAGGATCACCATTACTGGGAAGGTTTAAATTCCTATTCTATGACCTTCTGGGTGGGGGTGGGGTGACCCCCTTCTTCCCCATATGCCAAAGTAGTTCCTGGTTTTAGTATGGAAAGTCCTGCATTTTAGGAGATTTTCAAGTCAGGCAGTAGGGACTCTTCCAAGACAGCTTATTCTAATTTCCCAGGCTCTGATGGTAGCATTACCTCTCTTTGAATGAATATAGACTGCCCACACTGCCCATTTTGCAGTACAACAGTAACTGTGTGAACGCTTCAAATAGCCTTGACCTGTATTAAAACCCAAACCAATTCACTCCCATCTCTCTTGTTTCTATTTTAAATAATAATTCGCCACAAAACCATTCCTCTTTACCTGCCATTCCTTTTGCATGGTACCTCTAGGGACCTCTGCCCTTCTTTTGTTTCAAATACAGCTGATGCCACAGTATTGGACTTGATTAACTACAATGTCCACTTGGCTGCTTGATTAACTGCAAAGTCTACTTGCCCTCCTGGGCAGCAAGGACTTCCCGTTGTCATCACAGAATGCAGCCTGCTGTTTATGCTCACATCAGCGGTGAGGTCCGCTTCCCTTAGGGACGCAGTAGCTGTTTACCGCAGTGGAGCAGGAACAGCAGGAGGAGACCCATCCATTCTCTGCTTCACCTGGGTCCCCATGGCCCATATCAAAAGGAGCCACAGGATCTGTATTTCTGCCTTAGAGAGAAAGCTGAAAAATGCAGGTGGGGAATGGGAGAGCCATGCTAAGGATCTGGAATATTCTCTCTTTCCTGTGTGGAAAGTATAGACTTGAGGATAGTTCAAGACACATTCTGTATGAGGACAAAGGTGGATACTTTGTTCCCTTCCTGTCCTCTTTTTGTTTACATTCAGACAGCCCTGTGGAATCAAGAACTTATTATATCAAGCCTCTTTGCTATCCCTCATGTCTCCTCATTTTGCACACAGTGGGTGGGCAAACTACAGAGGTTGGGCCAAGTGAACAAAATAGAGTTCAGCAAACTAACTGGGCAATCTCAAGCACCAGTGAGTTTTACACTTTGCTCATGGTGAAAGTTGGGGCAAATTAGCTATCTTCTCTGAATCGCTGCTTTCTCTTTTTTAAAGTGGAGGTGATGGTGCTACCCCTTTATAAGGTGGCAGTGAGGATGCAATATGACAATCCATGAAAAGCACAGTGACCACAATGAAAGGGCAGAAAACTTTATCCTTAAGTTCTCCAAGATGCTCAAGTGAAACTTGGATTCTCTTTTCCTTCCACTTGTGGGCACCAACTTCTTTCCACATTTTAAAGCTCAAGAGCATTTATAAAAGGTCATAGGCAGCCGGGTGTGGTGGTGCACACCTGTAATCCCAGCAGCCCTGGAAGCTGAGGCAGGAGGATCATGAGTTCAAAGCCAGCCTCAGCAACTAGTGAGGCCCTAAGCAATTCAGTGAGAACCTGTCTCTGAATAAAATACAAAATAGGGCTGGGGATGTGGCTCAGTGGTTGAGTGCCCCTGAGTTCAATCCTGGTACCTCCCCAGATAAAGGTCATAGACATGGCTGATACTGAACAAACAAAGGCAGACTCAAGATTGATGAGCAGAACCAGCTTAGTACTAAGACAAAAGTACCGGGCTATCACCTATCTCCATCGGAGAGCAGGGCAGAGAGCTCCTGCTTGGCCTGGGCTTGCCAAGCTCCTTGTAGCTCAGAGGCAGCTATTCTGTAAATACTGCAATGACTTAGTATTTGCACTCTCTCCAGTTTTATAAAGAGGATGTGAAGGTAGGTGTATAAGGAGAGCTAGCCTTGAGTGCCTTCCACACTCACTGAAATGTTCACTTCTCAGAATGAACCCGGGAGGTTTGTGTTCATAATTCCACTCAAGAAAAGAAAAAATGGTGACTCAAGAGAAGTGACTTATCTAAAATCAAAAGCAAATGTGTGCCAGGGTTAGGCCTTAAACTTAAGCGTGAATCCAAACTCCCAAGCCTTCGTGACTTGACAAGCTGCCTGATCAACTAACAGATGCTACGTGAACCCATGCCAGTTGCCAGGCGAGACTCTCCAGGCCTTCCAACCACGGATTTTCCTTCTCAGTGACAGTCTTGCCTGGAGTGTTGCTCGTTTTTGTTTTTTTTTTTTTTTCCAGTGACATGGATGCAGGACCGATTCTGGGGGACCAGCTTTGAGAACAAGCCCCATCATTTACCACAGGACAACTCACCTAACCTCCTTGGGCCTCAACTTTCTTATTTAAGAGACTAGAAAATAACATTTCTCTCATGGGATAGTGTCAGGATTAAGAGCTGACAACTACACAAATACTTTCAATCCCTATAGCACTTTAGACAGTGTTAAGGATCACTAGCACCGTTTCCAGTGCTGTGCCTCCTCCAAGAGTTGGAGGTGGGGGTAAGCAGTAGTTTCTGTGCAACAGGAAGTTCTGTCCTGGAGCCCAGATGATAAGGACTATTAGAGGAAGTGGCAGAGTCCTGACTTCACCAGATGCAAATAGAAAATCCCAGTGGCCTGAGTTCTTCCTTACGCTTCATTGTGGAAGAGCTATCCCAGCTGCTGTGTGCAAAGAACAATAAGGAAACAGAGTCCTTGAGGAAATGCCATCAAGAGAACTGCCTCAGTGGCATGGGCACCTGGAGGGGGTGGCAGTCTAAGTTCTTTAGAATGGGAAAGTTTGAGGACTCTGCCAGGACTCAGGGGCAAAGGTCATTCCTGCCAACATAGTTGTAACTCAGGTGTTGATCTGATGACTTCGTCTCTCTTCCTCAATGACCTGCCATCATTCTACATTCCACACCATTTAACAAACATTTGTTATATACTAGGCTCTAGAGTTAGGGAATTGAATAAAACTCACAGGTTTCATGCCTCATGAAATGTACCTTTTAGCAGGGGAGACAAACATGCAGCCCAGCCAAGAAATGGTAAGATAATTTCAGGTGGTAATGAAGATTTACAAAGAAAATGCATGAGGATGGAGTTGTATCCAGCAAAGGGCTGGTCAAAGGTCCTTTGGACGGAGGAGTTGGGAAAGACATTCTGAGGAGGGGAGAATGAAGCAATAAGAAGGAACCAATGCTGGGCATGGTGGCACACGCCTGTAATCCCAGTGGCTCAGGAGGTTGAGGCAGGAGGATCACGAGTTCAAAGCCTCAACAATGGCGAGGTGCTAAGCAATTTAGTGAGAACCTGTCTCTAAATAAAATACAAAATAGGGATTGGGAATGTGGCTCAGTGGTTGAGTGACATTGAGTTCAATCCCTGGTACCCAACCACACACACACACACACACACACACACACACACACACACACACACAAAGGAAGGAAGCAGCCAGGTGAACTGGTCATTCTCCCTTTGTCCCCATGCATGCTCTACTCTAGTTTAATTCTGCAACAGCATCACCAAGAATCCCTAATCCGCTGGTTTCCCATGAGAATTGGCCAATGGGAGACACAATGGCAGGCAGAGGAAGAGATTGGGGAATTGATTCTCTTACTCTTCCCTTACTTAGGGTCTGAGCCTTGGCCAGCTCCCATGGGTGAAGGGCTCTTCCATGACCCCAGCTCTTCTGGGCTCCAGGAACTTATCTCCTCCCATCCCTCCCCCCAGTCAGTCCCTGTGGCCATAGAGGTAGTAATGGCTTCTCACTATTGCTACTCTCTAGGTTTCTTACACTTTCTGATTGTTCCTTGGCCCTACCACATACCTATCCCTTTATTAGAGTTTCTCCATTAAAAAATATGGAGTGAATTATGCTTCTTGTTAGAATTGCCACATGTAACTTCTAAAGATGCAGCTTCAAGCCATTCCTGGCAGAGAGAACATCAATCTTACGTGGATCAACTAAAAACAATGGTAACTAACTTTCGTGAGATTATTTCATAAAGTAGGAAGCATTTTAAACATATATTATTGAATTTAAATACTGTGATGACAGAGTTTGGGCAGGGATTATTCTCCTTTTATAATCTAGGGACTTGAGGCTCTGAGAAATAAAATGAGTTATCAAAAGTTGATATGGGCAGTTGACACCAGAGCTCAATCCTAAACTCAAGCTTCTTGCTCCCAGTCCAGGCTTCTTCCCCCCACTAAGTGAAGGCAGGTGGTAAAGAGATTTTTTGGAACATTATTTAGGAATTTATCAGTTTTATTAGTAGCTCTCAGAATCTGTCATATTTAACAACTCTCCAACCACAACCTTAAATTCAGTCATAGCCACAGGGACCTTCAGAAGCACAGGAACTCCTCTCAAGGTCAGGGGTAACCAAGCCACTTATCAAACCACTATTGGGACAGCCATGTGATTAAGCCTCTCAAGCTGACAGTTTCAGAGGATATGCATTTATAACTTCCTCAAAGTGTACTTTTCTTCTAATATGTGCATGTCATCATGAGAAATCTATTTTGAAGGTACTGGAGAAACAAGATATTTACAAGAATCATTTGATTAAAAAATATTAATTGACATCTTGAAATTCAAATAACTAGTGTATGGTTAATGCATTTCAAAGTTGAGATTTTGATCATGGCTTTCTTAAACTGAAGCCTACCTCCATAGTTATAAGACCGTCTTTATCAGCCATATCATTCTAGGATTAACAGTAAGAATTTCTTCCCCAAAGTGGAATCAGCCACAGAAAATCCAATTTCTAGCAGTAGATCATTCCTTCCCACCCTCTCACCAGCCGTCCTCCTCATTAACTTATCATTTGCAGTTTAAAATATCTACATGCACCTCTCCAATATTCCAATAGTTAGTCCTCCGGGGATTTACAAGCCAGATTGAACATCTGGATTTTGCAGCAAATCCTAAAGGTCACCAGATTCAGAGTGGTAGAAGGAGATGGATAGATGGGCACAAGACAACACGCAGCCACCGAGACAAACGGTTCCTGCTGGCCCAGGCCAGCCTCTGAAAACTCAGACGCATCAGACCACATGGGTATCTGCTGAAGGATGAATTGTTACATGGCTTTGGAAAAAGTCAGTGTTTCCTTTTCTTTCACTCCCACTTGGCATTTTGGAGCCTGCTGTCAGGATTCACACCGATTTTTGGCTTGAATTCTAGGGCTTTTTTTTTTTCCCCCTACTACAGTTGAGCTTAAAGAAAAATAGCACCAAGAAATTGTTAAGAAGAAAGGAAATCATGCTCCAGATGGTTTTAAAGATATTTAACCTGACCCAATGCCGCCCCAAAAGGTCTTTCATTTATAAAGCATTGGTCTTGGAAGCAACTTTCATTTGGTCTTGAAAGCAACAACTGCAAAACTGCTCTATACGTTCCTAAGACAGCACCTTAGCATGTGTGGGGGCGCATGTGCGATGAAGAGATGATGCATTTGTTCTTAGAGATGACACAGAATCTAACTGATGATCTTCCAGTTCCTTCACTGTTGCTCTGATGAAGGACATCTCAAAAATTGAGAGATGGTGAAATTTGATGTCCCAATGGTCCAAAAGGTTCTGATACTCCTGCTTTGAGAAACCGGGGTTTTCCTTCACTGTGTTAAATTGTTGAGGGAGATGAAACCCCCAGGCAATGGGGGAATATGGAAAAGACAGAGGCTGCCAGCAGTGAGGAGCCTGGGAAGCTGCACTTGTAATGTGATTTTAGTTACAGGTTACACAAAACCTGAACTCAGATGAACTTAAGCAAAGAAAGAAGTACCAGGGATTTCTGAGAGTGCTCCGGTGCAATGTACAGATGCAGGGACCAGGACAGTGTGCAAGGGCAGGGACCCAAGACCTGTGCCTCGACATCATCAATGGCTTCCGTCCACCTTGCCTTGGCATGAACCTGTCTAGTTTTACTTCATTATGTCGTGGAGCACACACGTTTTCCCTGTGAGGCAGGGAATGTGGCCACAGGCAATTTGAATTCCAATCGCACAAGAATCTAACCTTTTCTCTTTGTTCCATTTAGAATAAACCTTCAGGAAGTAATCTGCTTGGGTTCAGCTTGAGTCCCATTGTTGTCCCTTGACCCATCACTGATTCCAAGCTGACTGTGACATCCCAGCCTGGGTTTTCCTGGAAGAGAAGATCAGTGTGGAAAAAAATAAGAGAGAGTGTGAGCATAAGTAGTCTTGAAGGACAGTGGTGCAAGTTTGAAGGTAAAAACAGTTTACTGCGGCAACGAGAGGAGGCTTAACTGGATGAGTTGACTCACACTAATTCCACTAAATACGTCAAACAATGTGCAATTCAAAGATGGAACAGAAGACAAACTTCTCATTGCACTTCAAATGAGTGCAAGTGGCCTGTAGACGTGGCATGATGTGGTAAGCCACCATGCCAACCTTGTACCCATGTGTCACCCTCTGTCTAGGACACTACTCTCCCTTGGGTCCTGGAGCATAGCAGGCTCCTCCACCTCCAAAGGTTTAATGTAGCTCCTTCATTGTGCCTCCACAGTTCCCCCTTGTTACTTGCGTGGCTCAGACCTTGTCATCCCTCAGGGCTGTGTTCCTCAGGTGTCACTGAGCACCCTACTTAAGTAAGCCTCAGTCTCTTATTCTTTATCACTTTGTTTAGTTTAGTACTTACCAGTTTGTAATTGATGTAGTTGTTTGCTTAATAGTTCATTCTGGCCTCTCTGATAGACAGACTGTAAGCTTTTCAAGGGTTGGTATAATGTCAGAGTCATTCATTACTACTCCAGACACCTGTGAATGTCCCCCTCCCACTGAGAGGCTCAATAAGTGTTGAATAGATGGATAAATAGATGGACACATTGTCCAGATGAATGCAGTAGCAAACGAAGAACAAAAGGAAAAATGAAAACCAACCTAAAAAGTAGTGAGAAGGTTGCAGAGTAGAGGATCAGAGAGTGGGAGGGTGGTGGCGGGGGGTGGGTAGGGCTGCTACATGACCCTCATAGGACTGCTGAGATCCCAGCACCAGGGAGCACTGTTTCCATAGAATACAATGATCCTGGGCTCCTTGGAGTTGGTATGGTCTAGCCCACATCCTCCCACAGTGTGGCACCTCTCAGTGTCTCAGGAACAAATGAATCAGTCCCAGAAAACCACAGGGCTTTTGGTATGCCTCAAACTTCAGAGAAGTACTTCTTAAACCATCTGTGAGGAAGGAGCATTGTTACAAAATTATTTCCAATTCATTGCTCACCAAAACATTCATAAACCACAATACTTTAAAAAAATGCAAAGAGAGGAAATAACTAAAGACATACCAAATAAAAGGTCACATTTGGAAATAGATTGAAAACACATAAAATCACTGTGCAATTAGTACATATGAAAACATAAAAACATTTTGAACTTCTGTACATTGCAGATCAATAAGAGTTTAGAGATAGACACTGGTTCGTGAGCCACAGGTAGTGTCTATGTTTTAGGGAGAAGTCAAGTCGGAGTGAAGGACCTGGCATTAGATTGGGCTTAACCATACCCCTTCATTGAGTCTTCCTGGTAATCCTGTGAGGAGGGCCCATTGAAGTGAGAGAGGCAGGATGGTAAGAGCAGAGTCAGATACTGGCTTTATTTACAATCTTGAAACTTTTTTTTTTTAATCATGGATCTTTTTTAAAATTAACTTTAGTTTTACTAAAACAGCACAGTAAGATTTTTTTTATTGGTCATTTAGTTTTTTAATACCCCCTTAACTTTTGTGTCCAAGGTAAATCCCTCCCTTTCCCTAATCCAAGCCTGGTGTGGAAGGACAGAAGATTTTCTAATACATACAGAAAGCAGGACACAATACCATAAATAAATAGCTGAGGCCTTACCACAGTCCCGAACCCCTACCCTTTCTACTGTACCACCCTTCACCTCAATGCTGAGCTTCCAGCCTTCACTCAATCATTCACTTGCAATGACATCAAGGGTTGACATTGAGTGTGTGCTCCAGGGGTAGCTTATGGGAGCCAGTCTGGAACACTGAGTGGAAGCCAAATGATAGGCAACCCTGAAAGTAGAGCTGAGGGGCTGGGGTTGTGGCTCAGTGGTAGAGCGCTTGCTTAGCATGTGTGAGGCACTGGGTTCAATTCTTAGCACCACATATAAATAAATAAATAAAGGTCCACTGACAACTAAAAAATATATTTTAAAAAAAGAAAGAAAGTGAAGCTGAGGAATGTGGATTTTATCTGGAGTTACTGGGGCATTCTAGAAGTGGCATGGTCAGATTTAATGTTCAGAAAGTTCACTCTGAGTGTATTTGGGTGAATGGGTAGAAAAAAAGGGACAGAACTGGACTTGGTGCCAAGTTCATTGAAGGATGAAGTAATCCAGGGAGAAGTCGGAAAGGAGAGTGAAGACCTGGTCCCATTGGAAAGGGTCTTCTTGCTAGCATCACGAGGGCTCAGAGAAGGACAAATTGCCCCTTCAGCTCCCAGGCTGTGCCTGTCCATGTTCATTGGATGAGCACAGACCCACTGGGGACACCGAGTAATCTGTGACTCTGTGTATAGGGGTGGGGGAGGGACAAGGAGGAAAACTCACTAATGAGAATCTGGAGTGAGGAAAACGGGTGCAAGGAGACATGGAAATGCAAGAAACTGGTAAAGGAAAGAGCAGAAGGCAGGCAGCATCTGCGAGCTCAAGGACAGGAGGAAGGAGGAAGGCGGGAGTAGGCGGAAACAGCAGTCAGATTCTCAGCGGCACTAAAATTGTCCCTGCCACTTGGCAGGAGTCAGTTCAGACGTCGCAGATCCAAGAGTCTTGTCCTTTTGCCCATTCATATAACTGCACAAGGAGCCAATTGGGGAGATTATGGACCAAAGGATTCCTTGGCAAATATCCCTTCTACCTTCAGTGGTGTTTTAAGCCCTCAAAGCATTGTTTATTGAAGTAATGACAATGGCCATGAATTATTTCTGCCAGAGTGGACTGCAAGACATTCAGTGTGGCTGATTAAAAAAGTACATGAAGTGCAGTTTAAACATACATAATGCCTCTTAGAAAAAATCAATTTAGAATCTAAATGAACATATGATGGATAGTGTGACTCAACCTTTAAAGATCTGAAATGGAACTCATTTTATTACTGTCCACTTTTATAATGAAAAAGAAAAACCTCTTATACCATGCCACCTTTACAATTCTCTGAGCTTTTTCACTTAATTTAATTTATTTTTATTTCAAAAATCCTTTAAAGCAGAAAGGGCAGGGATTATTATTCTCATTTTGCAGAAGTGAAAACGGAGACCAGAGAGGTATAGAAATTTGTCCGGCACATGCTAAGTGGTAGAGCTGGTCCTGGACCTGACTATCTTGACCATGAATATTCTTTCTATGGATTTCCAGTGTTCCACTCTAAGCAAGCTGTAGACAGGCTTTTCTGGAAGGACATCATGTTGATCATCTCGTTATCCTTTCCTGGGGACCTGCTGAAAGATGATTGTCCAAGGATCATGCACTTACATGGGAGACAGTGGCAGAGGGGTCACACTCGCTTATCACTCCAAGGCTTTGAGTAAGATGCTAACTTCCAGAGTCTCTTAGCTAAAAAAACGAGTGGCAGGTGTCCCTATGTCAGTAGGTTATTGTAAAACATTATTGTCCTTCAGGAAGTGGAAGACTAAAAGGTGAGACACAGGATCCAGCAAATGTGACTGGAAGGGATGAAAGACGGAAACTCAGGGTTTTAGTGTCCTTAAGGAGGATCAGGTCTAGAGTGTGAGTCAGGAAGGGAAAACAGAGGCTTACCGTTCAAACATTAGTCTTGCAAGCACCTGGAAAGTAGGAGCAAGGACCCCTTGTTGAGCACTAGGTTCCATCTCCCTGTGTGCCAGGGGCTGTGTGGCACACATTTGAGAATAGTGTTTATTGAACAATTACTTTAAAAAAAATTGTATATAACAGCAGAATGATAGGGCAGAGGGGTGGGAGGGGAAGGGAGGGGCATGGAGTAATTAATGATGGTTGAATGTGATGATTGTTCTTATCCAAAGTACATGTATGAAGACAGGAATTGGTGTGAATATACTATGTATACAACCAGAGATATGAAACAACTACTTTTCAACACCTACTGTGTGCTGACCACTGTTGGAGATGTTGGGGACACCAAGTGAGGGATGGCCCCGGAGGTCCCTCCCCCCACCCCTTCCAGGGTGCTAGCAGGGACAGAGACCAAAGCAAATAGACACTTATCTCTGGAGTCTCCACCTTTCTTATGAAGCTATTTGGCTTCCAGGAAGTTTCTAATTTATATGATTGCCCGTGTCCCTCCCCCGCCTTTCTAAATATGCAGAATGTGACACTATTGTGGCCTTCTCACCGATCAGAGCCCTTTCTGTGTGAAGCCTCACTTGGGCTCCCTTCTCTGTGGGATAATGAACCCTGGAGGAGCATGAGCAAGACACCACTTTTCTGCTTATACATTTTCCTCGAGTGCACTCTCGTTTGGATGTATGTGGCAGGATACTTGTGGCATGTGCAGTGTCGATGCCTCTGTTGGAGAACCCAAAGCTACCATTCCTGTGGATGAGGGAGATGACAAGAAATTATGTGAGACATTCTGTCATCTCATCCTCCCAGCTTTATCCTAACTCTCCAGCTGTGCACTCCTGCCGGCAAGAGATGTTGGAGCCTCCTCCAAGTGTGTCTGATAGAAAACCACCAGCCCTCTCCCCATACACAGCAATGTCAGTGGGTTGGGATTTTGTCATGGGTAGTTTGGGGACCCTAAGGACAACATCTTCCAAATTATAATGTGGTGGTAGACAGTCACTGCAGAGTACAGCTGGGCTTTCTAGGAAGATCTCTAAATGGGTCATTACTTTGTGGGCTGGAGACACTCTGAGAGTTTGATCAATGAAGGAACTGTAAAGAATAAAAATGGTGAAGACATGATTCTAGTCTACGGATAGTTGACAGACTAATGAGGAGGAAGGGATGTCGGATGTGTGGGATGTGAATATTCACCTTCGTTACATTTCTGGCTCGGGTCCCCTCACCTGGGTGCTCTCAGTTACTCCGATGGGCTTCTGCCGTCATCTCCAGACTTGATCAATCCCCAGAACCTCGGTTGCCAGGCTGGGTCTCTCTTCTGTCTTCGGAGCAGCACACCCTTCCGTTCAGCCGCCTCCCAGGTATCTCTGCATGTGTTCCAGAGACACTGACAATTCTTCCTTCCCTCCTCAGTCTTCACTTAGATCATCACCATCAGTCCTGCTGCTCAGGCTAAGAACCAAGAATCAATCACCCTCAATCTTTCCCTTGTCCTTTCTTCCTACGACCAATCTGTCACCAAGCCCTGCCAAGCCTTGCGTTTCTGGCCCCGCAGTCTCCCTCTCCACACCCCCCTCTGCCTTAGATCCAGCCCCAGACTTCTCAGCTCATGCTCATGGTAGTCTACTGACTTTTGTTAAAGAAAAAAAAAATTCAGGCCTCTTGTCAAAGTCAGTAAGGAAGACTTTACTGAAGGTTTTTTTTTTTGGGGGGGGGCCATTGCATGACAGGTATGAGACTGCTGCAATGGAGTCTCCAAGTGGCGGGCAGAGGTTGAATTTGCTGTCTGAATACAAGACTAGTGGAGGATTGGCAGGCTGAGGGGAGGGTCAGTGGGTGGAAAATTTCAAAAAGGAGTAAAGGGAGGTCTGGCTAAACTGACTCCACAGGATTGTTGCTGAGGGCGGGGCAGGTGGTAAGATAGGGGAGTAGAGGATGCGGAATTTGATCGGATAGTAAGGGTGGTCAGATACCAAGGGTCAGTGTATCCAGATAGATTCTTGCTAAAACTAAATGAACAGAGCCACTGGACCAATGGCAGAGCCCACTCCCATGAGCCCTCCCTGCCCTCCCCACCCTGCCCAGCTGTGATCTTCTTGTATGCATTTAAGCAGATGACTCTCCATTCCCCAGTGGCTTGTAGAAAAAGGGTCAGCCTGCAAACATGGCTCAGCTCTCTCTCTCTTAATCGTCTCTCCCACACTCTTCCTGGAAGGGATTTATGTCTCCCTGGCCCCACTGATATCCTCACCTATTAGCAAACCTAACTTGCCATTCGGGAGCTGAGTCTGGAAACCTTCCTGATACGCCACCTTCTCCTTCTCCTTCCACCTTCTTCCTGCCCACTTCCAAGGTCCAGTCACACTGCTGCTACAAAATCACTGTCTCAAGATCCCCTGCTATGGAGGGTCCGTATTCTAAAAGCATCCTTTTATTTATCTTTGTATGCTTATTTCCTATTAGATCGTGAGCTCCTCAAATAGCTCTCTGTATTTTTAGGGCCTAGAAGTTGATCCATAATAATATTAATAAAAACAGTGAATGGCCACAATACCTCTCACTCACATAGTGCTTCCTCTGTTTTTATACACATGTGCATTTTCCAAAAAAGAGAAATCTCCACAAGAATCTGTGAAATAGATGCTGCTGTTATTCCAGTTTTACAGATGAAGAAAATGAGGCAAAAATGTTAACCGACCAGGCAGATACCACCCTGCTAGTGTGTGACTATGTGCTGAGTTTCAACTCAAAGCAAGAATCCCTGCTCTCGGCCACTAAGGCTCTCCAGCACCACACAGGGGCACTGTGCCAGTTGGACATGGTCAACTGAACCAGGGATTGAGACACCAGGGCTGGGGTGACAAGGAAGATGTAAATGGGTAAAACCAAGGGCTATGGTGGCACACAATGAACAAGGTGAGTGTCATCAGCGTCTCTGCTGAGTGCAGATGGTGGTGTAGGTGGAGGGTGTGACCAGCAACTCCAGAAAGAGGCCACATCTTGAGTGGGACACAAGACAGCCAAGCATGGCTGAAGAATGATGGAGTAAGAATTAATCCAAGGGAACAGGATGCTTCTCTTGGAAGTTAAAGGTATTTTTATTACCTGGTTCTGCTCTCGGGCCCACAGTATGACTTTCATGGGCCCTGGGCACTTTTACCTTACCACTAAGGTGAAAATGGGCCCCTTCCCCCTAAATAGCACTAACCATTCACATTTTATAACCTTGTTGGTATTAAAGATAAACTTATTAATATTATAAGTTGAAATATTTTATTTGACCTAAAAGTTCATTTGTTTTCCTTCTGATGATTAAAAAAAAAAAAAAGGGGATTTTTTTTTTAATGGCCTTGAAAGTATTGGGAGCCCTGGATATGGTGCCTTCTGTGCCTCATGAGGAAATTGGCCCCAACTCCTCTCTTACTCATGCACCTCAGCCAGGCCCTTGGAAGTTCTCTGTCAGGATTGGAGTACAGGATTAGTCCTCAAAATGATCACATTTCTTATTTGCAAAGTGAGGAAATAGGCTATATCACTCCTGAGGAGCTTTCTGACTGAGACTTATATTCCATTTGTTGCTTGTGAGGTACGAACAACTCCTAAATCTCTCTTGAGGTTATCATCTTATTTAATTCTCACAACTTCCCATTGTTCACACAAGGAAACTGAGGCTGATGGAGACAGGCTTCTGGCTTCACAGCTCACATGTGGTAGAGGCTGAGGAAAGCCCCAGTCCTCTACCTCTCATCACTACTCAAGAGCAGAAGGTTTGGCCTGGGGAAGAACCCCTGGGAGGAGAGAGCTGCTGACATGCATGTGTGGTTTCCATGGTCACACAGATGGGTCATGAACTTGGAGTCGGCTCACAAGTGGAGTGGGAGTCCACCTGGGGTTCATTTAGCTACTTAACATGATTTACTAGTGGTGGGGATAGAACCCAGGGTTTCCAGCATGCTAGTCAAGTGCTGAGCCCCTGAGCTTTAACCCCGGCTTGCAAAGTGGGTTTATTTCAGCTTTTACTATTATCATTGTCATGCATTCTGGGAGAAAGAGTGTCAACAAATGAATCTGTGGGGAGTGGAGGGCACAATTCAGTTCACAGAGTTTCTCAAATGCAAATACAAGAAGTGGGCATAAGAACATTTGAGAAAAGAAACAAAAATTCAGTGAGGAAATTCGTATTTTAAAACAACTTCATAAGGGCTGGGGATGTAGCTCAGTGGTAGAGGGCTTGTCTAGCATGTGTGAGGTGGCACTGGGTTTGACCCTCAGCACCACATATAAATAAATAAATAGATAGATAGATAGATAGATAGATAGATAGAGGTACTGTGTACATCTACAGCTAAAAAATCTAAAAAACACCTTCATAAAGAGCAAATATTAGGTTATCAAATGATTGATTTCTTAAGTTAGATTTTCTTTTCTTTTCCTTTTATCTTTTATTTATTTATAAAATACTTAGGGTTAAAACCAAAGCCCTCTCACATGCCAGGAAAGTGCTCTACCCCCATGCTGCATCCTTAGCCCTTTTTATTTTTTATTTCAAGACAGTGTCTTGATAAATTGCTGAGGCTGACCTTGAACTTGGGGTCTTCCTGTCTCAGTACCCTGAGTCACTGTGGCTGGGTGTGTGCCACCACACCAACCCCCTGGGTTTGCTTTTTGCCCTTGTCAGTGTCTACTAGAGGTCGTGAGCTGGGTTCTGACACTGGGCCCTCATCTCAGTCTTTTTTTCAGAACCTACATAGCTGGTCAGGGTGAGGGGTTCAGCTTGGGCCCATCGGCAGACACTGCAGTTTTCAGCCACTGGAGTGTCCTGGGCTCTCTGCTGGGTCTGAGTGGAACAGGGGAAGGAGAGAAAGTGTACGTGGTCACACTCCCACTGGCCTGAGAGTTGAACAGAAGGCAGCCATGGTAACAAAATGACAGGATAGCAGGGTGCTGCGAGCGGAGACCACACAAGGACAGCGGGAAGGGGGGAAACCAAGGTCCCGCCTCCTTCCCTGGAGGCCGGGCTGGTTTCCCCTCTTGCTTCTTGACCCTATACAAACACAGCTCTAGAGCACCTAGGGAGGCTGAGGCAGGAGGATCTCGAGTTCAAAGCCAGCCTCAGCAACTTAAGGAGGCACTAAGCAACTCAGTGTGACCCTGTCACTAAATAAAATACAAAATAGGGCTGGGGATGTGGCTCAGGGGTCCAGTGCCCCTGAGTTCAATCCCCGTACCCCCTCTCCCCCGGTACTCCCTCTCCCCCAGGAAAACAAAAACAAAACAAAATGTAGCTCAGTGGTGAACGTTCAAGGCCCCGGGTTCCATTCAAGAGAGAGGGAGAGATCAGGAATAAAAACATAAAAGGACAAAAATGATCTGAGACTATAATTTCCTAATAAAACGGTTCTAGTTGGCCTGATTCTAGTCAGATGAACCTTCTTTCCCCTCACTGTTGGCCAGGCTAATAAGAAAAGCAGCACACTGAGGAAGTTTAGGCATGAATTTTATCACTCCCTGGACAGTTCCAGGCAATAGAAGGGGAGGTATTACCATGAAGTTTTAAAACTCACACTACTTTGAAATTATCACGTAAGAATTGTCACGGGGGGACCCAGTAAGACTGCGATTTCTCCTTGTTTTACACCGCAGGACTGAAAAGGGAGTTGAAGGAGATTAATTACATTCCCTGCTAATCAATGCAAAGACATATTTTTCTGCTTCTCCATCTCATAATTTTTATTTCATCTAGTTTCGGCTTTTTTAGGGTTGCCAGATGTCCCAGTTTCAGTGGGACAATCCTGCGTTTTGAAGGTACGTCCCATCTGCTCTTGAAAATATTTCTGTTCACTGCTCTCTCGTCGGCTGTAGGGTTTTTAGAGCTGCCAGCCAGAGTACGGCTGCTGCAGAGAAGATGATAAATTATTGTAACACTATAAAAAAAAATCACTCACATCCACCACTACCTCACCTCAGCAATGCTGTGAATTAATTCTGCAAGAATGTTTGTCATGAAAGGTGAAATCTCCAAATCTCCAGATGGGAATTTGGAGCTCTTTCCACATGGCTTCGAGAAGAGGCAGAGCAGGTAGGCAGGAATAGGTGGGATGATGGCAGGACTAGCCATTGTAACATCTGGCTCCATGTTTCTGGAAAAGTAACTTTGGGTCAGTAAGTTCAGAGAACCAACGGTTGTTTGAGCATTTACTGTCTAGCTGATGTATAGTTGTCACTTTAGATAAAAAATGCCTGAATTATTTCTAGAGTGTAACTTGGCTGACAGGTTTTATTCCCATTTTATAGATAAGGAAGTTGAGGCTCAGATCCACAGATCCAAAACTCTTGGTGCAAAACCCCATGGCAGATGTCTCACTCTTTTCACAGTTAGGCAGAAATAATAATCATCTACAGTTTGCAAGGTTTGAAACAGAGGCTGATGAACAGATTCTCCTAAGGTCTCTGCCAGGGTTCTAGTGATACCCTAGAGGACTTGGAACTGAAGGCCCTGTCTATGGG